CAGCACGGCACCCCACAACAATGACACACCAGGAGAAGCTTTACTTTCAGGTCTGGTACTTTGACTTTTTAGGGATTTGCTGCCTGTGAGGCATGGGCAAGGGAAAGAATTCACCTAAAAGACCTTCCATGTTTTACATCATCCAATAAGTAAAAGTAGTCTTGGGCTTTAGGTCAGCCTCTCTGTTGGTCCTCATTCTTCTGTGGTTCCATCAGCTCCTTCCATATTGAAACATTTTTGGAGACTGATCAACTCCTGAAAAACCCACAGAGTTTGCATCAATAATGTGTACCATACTGGTTTTTCCATCCAAAGATATTGTCAACTTGGTAACTATTTATAGGAGAAAGGTTTGCATAGAATCAAAGAATTAATTCTTTCACTTCTTCCAGTGTATTCTGTACACATATACCACACTGCTATACAAGTCGTCTCTGACTTACAGCAGGGTTTCATCCGCATGATTTAGTCGTAAGTGGCCTCTGATGTCAATCAGATACCTCTTTTTTGTGTTGTTTTGTTTTCATAATTGTTGCCTTTTAATATCAGTATCTTTTTTAATCCAATTTTTATATGTCTTGGGGGATCAAACACATTACATATAAGCTTATAGTTTCATCATTGGTGATTCTATCTTCTCCTGTTATATGCACGTGTTTGAAGCAACAGAAGCCAGAGCAGACAGGCCTCCGTGAAGATGAGAGTAACTTGAGACTCTCACGAGTCGGAGACCAATGGCACATCAGTCAGAGTTTGCTTAGGATGACCTATCTAGGGAGTCTTGTTTTGCAAAACTCTTCAGGAAGTTCAAAGGAGCAAGGTAACATTCAGACCTTGTGAGATGCTACATCCACCACAAGTCATTGATGATTAGCTAAGTTCCCTGCAGCCTGAAATAAGTAAGTCACAATAGGACACACAGATGCTATTGGTAAGCCCTGTGTTTAATTCTGTTTCCTATGTTGTTGGTATCAATTGCTGTTGAGTTTATTCTGACTCACAGAGACCCCATATGTGCCAAGTCGAACTTTTCCACTGGGATTTTAAGGCTGTGGCCTTAAGGCCCGTAGGCTAGTAGTCAAGTGCTTAACTGTTTGCTCCACCCCGGGACTCCTGTCCCTACTACACAGGAACAATGATGACTTCTGTGGCATTTCAACCTTTAAATCCTGAGCCAGTGCTCTCGTTGACATTCATCCCACCACAGCAGCATACATGGTAAGGTCAAAGGATGGCTGCTACGGTTCTGATTCATACATGACTGGGTTTGTTCAGAACAAAGCCTGTGGTTTACACATATCTCTGCAACCAGTGAATGCTGGAGACAAGTTCTCTCAGTGATGTACTTGTCTGTGTGGGTCTTAGTCTCATGAGGGTGGCTTCAACAAAAATGGTATGCTATTTAGCGTCATGTACAAAACTGATTTTGAAGTCATGGTTAATATCACCCTTTAAAAAAAATCATTTTATTGGGGGCTCATACAACTCATCATAATCCATACATACATCCATTGTATAAAGCACATTTGTACATTCATTACCCTCATCATTCTCAAAGCATTTGCTCTCCATGT